CAAGCCTGATACAGGCAATCATGGTCCACATCCAGTTTGCAGGCTCTGCCTAGGATTACGGAAGAAGCAGCTCTGCACTGGAACAGCTATGTGGGGAGGAAGAGGTTCTGCACTGAGAAAAACAGCACAGAGCAACACTGTCCCCTGCACTGCTTAGAGCAGTGGTCCTCCAACGCGGTGCCCGCGGGCACCATGGCACCCCAGCCTGATACAGGCAATCATGGTCCACATCCAGTTTGCAGGCTCTGCCTAGGATTACGGAAGAAGCAGCTCTGCACTGGAACAGCTATGTGGGGAGGAAGAGGTTCTGCACTGAGAAAAACAGCACAGAGCAACACTGTCCCCTGCACTGCTTAGAGCAGTGGTCCTCCAACGCGGTGCCCGCGGGCACCATGGCACCCCCTGGGGCATTTATGTCCACTCACCTAGTGACCAGGGCCAGCCCGAGTCATTCTTGCACCTCGGGCCCTGGGCACATGTGTGACCCCACCCCCGGCATCCCCAAAAGGTTGGGGACCACTGGCTTAGAGGCTCCACCCTCCATGCTCCCAGTGGCCTGGAATCCCAGCAGTAGAAATCTGTACTCACCAGTGCAGGGTGGTCCAGAGCCACCTCCATGCCCCACATGGAGCTGAGAAAGGACGTGCCCTCCCACATCCCCAGCCCACTCCTGCACTTTCCCTTCCTGACCCTACACCTCCATCCCACTCCTGCACTCTCATTCTCAGGCCACTCCTGCAGCTCACCTCCTCCCCAGAGCCTACACCCCTAGCTCTCTCCCCAGTAACCCTCTCTGACACATTAAATCCCTCATTTTTGGTCCCACCCCAGAGCCTGAGGGCAACAGAATCTATTAGCCCCAGGCCTCTAGAAAAGTTATTCCAGCCCTGGGGAAAAGGCCTGAGCCTTGGCCCACCATGGGGCTGAAGCGTGAGGGGGACTCTGGGGCCCTGACTCACACAGGTGAGCTGACGGTCTCTCTTTCTCGGCTGGAGGCCCAGGCCCCTGCCTGAGCACACAGCGGTCAGCGACTCAAAGAGGATTCCCCCCCC